ATAGAGAAGTTGGTCCAGGCCGGTTCGGTGGTTAAGGTGCCCCCCTCTGAGGTTGCTCATGCAGATGAGTCATGGTACATCCCTCACCACCTTGTTAGCCACAATGGCAAAGATCGCCTTGTGTTTAACTGTTCGTTCCAGTTCCAAGGCCAAGCCCTCAACGAACATCTTCTACCTGGGCCCACCCTGAGCGCATCGCTCCTTGGTGTCCTCCTTCGCTTTCGAGAGCATGCCGTAGCCATCAGTGGTGACATTAAAGGTATGTTCCACCAGATTCGCCTTCTTCCCGAAGATCGTTCCCTCCTGCGGTTTGTGTGGCGGGATCTACACCCCGAGGAACCGGTGGCCGTTTATGAATGGCAGGTCCTCCCCTTCGGTACAACTTGCAGCCCATGCTGTGCAACCTTTGCTCTGCAGCGCCACGCCAGGGACCACACGGAAGGAGATGATCCGCTACGTCACTCTGTGGGACAGTGCTTCTATGTTGATAACCTTCTCCAGAGCGTGCCGACCCCTGAAGAAGCCCGGGACCTAGTGGACAGGCTAAGAGCCCTCCTGTCTTCTGCTGGATTTGTCCTTCGCCAGTGGGCCAGTAATGAACCCAGCACCATTGGCCACCTACCTGAAGACCTCAGATCCACAAGTGCAGAACTTTGGCTCACTCAAGACAAATCAGACACCTCTGAGCCAACTCTGGGCCTTAGCTGGCACTTCCCCACGGACACCTTGGGTTACAGACACCGCAAAATCAGTTATGGCGCCCCCACTATGCGGAATATTTATAAGGTTCTCGCAAGCCAATACGACCCACTGGGCTTTATCCTACCGTACACCACCCGAGCCAAGATGCTGGTGAGGCGCCTTTGGGATCAACAGAGGGGATGGGATGACCCGCAGCTTCCGCCAGAACTACTCCAGCAGTGGAAAACCTGGGAAGAGGAATTGCCGTTCCTTGCACAAGTCCTGCTTCCTCGCCCGTATCTCCCAAAGCACATCACGGAGTCAGTTAGTGAGAGAGAGATTCACATATTCTGTGATGCGTCAGAGCAGGCTTATGGCGCAGTGGCCTACATGAGAACAGTGACAGGTGATGGCAGCTCACATCTAGCCTTCCTGATGGCTCGCTCCCGTGTTGCCCCTAAACGCATTCTCTCCATGCCCAGACTTGAGCTGTGTGGTGCCCTCTCCGGAGCTCATCTTTCCCGTCTCCTTAAAAATGAGCTCACTCTGGACATAAAGAGAATAGTGCTGTGGTCTGACTCCACAACTGTACTCACCTGGTTGAGGTCCCAGTCATGCCACTTCAAGGTCTTCGTCGGCACCCGCGTGGCTGAGATCCAGGAATTAACTCACTCGCACACCTGGCGCTATGTGGACTCAGCCCAGAACCCCGCAGATGATATAACCCGGGGGAAGTCCCTTCTCGAGCTCACCAGACCCAATAGATGGAGTCAAGGGCCTCCTTTCCTGCTCCTAGGTCCAGAACAGTGGCCTCCAGAGCCAAGTGGCACCCTGGCTGAGCCTCCAGGCCCATCTGAGCTCCGTAAAGAGACCTTTTGTGGATTTTCTACCACCTTCGACCCGGCCACTTCGAACTTCAGCAAATATGACACCTGGACACAGCTGCTGGAAGCGGCTATTACGCAGTTGCATGGGGCGGCCAAAGGCAGTGGAACTTCATCGGCTTATGACTATGTTCGAGCAGAGATGAACGTCCTGAGAGAAGCTCAACAGGAGAGCTTCCCTGAGGAGTATCGACTCCTTAAGCAGGGGAAATCCATCAGTCGCAGCAGTCGTCTCCTTGCACTATCCCCTGAGTTCGACCACGAGAATGAGGTCATCCGTGTAGGTGGACGTCTTCGCCGCTCTGAAGATCTCGCCTTTACCAGCTCCCATCCTTTAGTTTTGGATCCGACACATCCAGTCACCCGCCTGTTCATCCAGGACGTCGACAGTCGCCTGCGCCATCCAGGGCCAGAGAGGGTCTTTGCGGAGATTCGGCGCACTCATTGGATCCTGAGAGGCCGGGAAGCAGTTAGGCGTTTTCAAAGGACCTGTCTTGAGTGCCGCAGATGGAGAGCCCGACCGACTGTTCCCAAGATGGCGGACCTGCCAGTTGCGCGCCTCCGCCTTTACAAACCTGCCTTTTATTCGACAGGCGTGGACTGTTTTGGACCCTTTGAGGTCAAAATCGGGCGCCGTGTGGAGAAGAGGTGGGGCATCATCTTTAAGTGCCTAACTATCAGAGCGGTCCACCTTGATGTCCTAACCTCCATCGATACAGATGCCTTCCTAATGGCACTTCGACGCTTCATTGCCAGGAGAGGAACTCCAGCTGAGCTGTACTCAGACCAAGGGACCAACTTCCGTGGGGAGAAAGGGAACTCCAAGCAGCTTTTGCAGCCATGACCTCTGACCTGCAGAAGCTCCTGGCTCCCCATAAGATCGTCTTCCACTTCAATCCACCAGCGGCTCCTCATTTCGGGGGAGTGTGGGAGCGGGAGATTAGGTCTGTCAAGACGGCACTCTACACTACAGTAGGATCCCAACCCCTTCAAGAAGAGGTCCTCCACACGGTCCTTGTGGAGGTGGAGGGCATCTTGAACTCCAAACCACTAGGTTATGTCCCGTCTGACATCAGTGATCCTGATCCAGTGACCCCCAACTGCTTTCTGATGGGGCGGCCTGACGGAGCACTTCCTCAAGTGGCTTACCCCAGAGAAGAGCTCCTGAGTCGCCGGAGGTGGAAGCACTCCCAGGTGCTGGCTGACCACTTCTGGTCTCGATTCGTCCGGCTGTACCTTCCAAGCCTGCAGCTTCGGCAGAAATGGCGGTCATCCCCCGCAGATGTCACAGAAGGTTCGGTAGTGATGATCGTAGATCCTCAGCTGCCTCGTGCTTCCTGGCTCGTGGGCTGCATCTCCAAAGTCCACCCCAGTCCCGACGGGCACATCAGGTCTGCTGACATCAAGGTGAAGGACCGGACCTTCACCCGACCTGTGGCAAGGCTGGTGGTGCTGCCTGCCCTCCCGGACGAAGGCAAAGGACAATCACCGTAACTTTGTTTGTAAAATTGCCTTTTGTTGTGAGCAAATGTACTTCATACATTTGGGGGCGGCTGTACAAAAGGCCCCGTAGTTATGGGTTTATTCTGTTCAGTTGTTAGTTCACCTGTAGTTTTTAGAGTGGCCAGTAGAGGTCACCCCACCGCTTTGTATGAGAGACTATGTCCAGGGAGAGACGTGGGCAAAGCACCTGAGCTTTTCTGCTCCAGATTACTGGCAGAGAATTGGTTATCCCGTGAGAAGTGTGCGTTAATGAGCAACGTAAGTTGGTGATGTGTGAGGATGTGATAATAAGATGTGTTTGGGACTGTAACCAAGGTTAGGGGGGAAATGATTATGTTTCTGTCTGTGCCGCTAGCGGGTGCTAAGCTAAGCTAAGCTAAGCTAACTTTCCTGCCGTGTGGTTGGGTATAGCTGTGTACCTGGTTAGCTCTCTCAGGGGGTCTACGTGTGAGTCGTGGGTAATATATGGCCTATGGTATTAAAGGGGATGTTGGTTTATTTCCTGCCTGTGTTTATGTTGATGTACTCTGGAGATATTGTTGTGAACACTTTAGTAATGTAGCATTTTCTTTCTGTTCCGTTCAGAGACCACACACACACACACACACATCCATGCCCACGCACCTAAACCTGTATGCAATATCTGCTCCTCTGACAACCTCTGTTACCTTCAACTGTGTGAAGTCAATACAAGAGTCTGCACTATCCTCGGTGTCTTCATTGTCTCCCTTCTGAACATTCATCCGGGCCTTGAGCAGTGTTCTGGCCGACACTCCGGGGAGTGGTAGCTGCAAACCTGAACTAGCACCTTACAGTCCTTCCAGTACAAGCTATCTACCCAACAGTTCATGTTAAAGCTATAAGTGTATTGATACCCTGGCAGATATCAAAGTGGATATTGATGTGATAATATGGACTGCGAAACTGATTAAACTAGATTTAGAACTACTTTAGATAAAACCACAAGGGCTATAAAAATTACACCTGTAAAACCCTGAAAGATGCTTTGTGTTTGCAGAAATTTGTGCCCCCCCCCAAAAAAACAAAAACCCAACTAGAAAAACAAACAAACAAACAAAAAACATAGTTGCACATCCAAACGTGCTGTGGTGGGGATTCAAGAAAATAGTTTGAGATGATTTAAGCTTTGGGATGAAGCATATTATCCTGATGGACGGAGTCATTAGAACATGAGCACACCGTGGTGCATAAATGGATGGACATGGTCATCAACAATATTCAGGTAGGCTGGTAGCATTTAGATGATTAGAATTTAGATCAGGGGTGTCAAACTCAAATACACAGTGGGCCAAAATTCAAAACTGGAAAAAAGTCGCGGGCTAACGTTAATATGTATTGAAATATATTTATTCCTCCAGATATAAGAATGAATCTTTTCTTATGGACTCAAACAAGTTTTGCTGAAAAACTGAATGTGGAACAAGCAAAGCTTAATACTAACCAATATATATATTAGCTGTATAATACCAGTAGGCCAGCTCTAATAGTAATTTGGTATGGCTTCGCGGGCCAAATGTAATTAGGCTGCGGGCCAAATTTGGCCCGCGGGCCAGAGTTTGACACCTATGATTTAGATGATGTTCAGCTGGTACTAAGGTGCCAAAAAAATATCCCCACACATTAAACCAATACTGCCCTGATACAAGGCAGAATGGGTCCATGCTTTCCTGTAGTTTACAACAAATTCTGACCCCATGATCTGAGTGTCACAGTCAAAATTGAGACTCAGACCATTTGACATTTTTCCAGTCTTCTATTGTCCAATTTTGGTCCCCATGAGAATCGTAGCTTCCCAATTAGTTTCGTCACACTTAAGACCACTTCATTTCAAAATCATTTAAATCGTGAGTCTATTTTTATTATAATTATTATTTTTTTAATATAAAAAATGTCGAACGCAACTAAACTTGCCTCCTAGCAGCGTCCTCAATGGTTTCTCCAGGCTGAACTTTGCCCCCAAACCCGTTCCACTTTCCAGCACCAAAGCCCCTCTTCTTCATACCCAGTAGCACTCTGCCCGGCTGGACAATGAGCACAAGGGTCAGCAGCTTGGAGCTCAACATCTCGCCTGAGTGTGGAGGTAAAGAAATCTGATGTTAAACTAACGCAATGCATCTCCACTGTGCTGCACAGTAAGCGTAATCAGCTGCACACTCCGCTGTGTGCTAACATGGTTACCTGCTAAGTAAAACTGTGCTAGCGTATTGAAAAAAGGAATTTTTTTCTCAGCGGTGGCCGAAAGAAAAAAGACGAAAAACTGCTTATAAAAACAGTATACTTTGAGTTCAACAACTCCCGCGTGCAGCTGCAGATCGGTTGTCACGTGATGTGCTGATACGTAAGAGCGTGGATGAGTACGATTGACGTAAACTCAGCTCACCGGGTCCATCGCTTTCTTGCTAGATCGGTTAACCGTGGTTACCATGAAATGTGTTCGACTAGAAACTGCAGCTGGTTAATGCTGCAGTTACAGCACGTGTTATCTCACGATAACCCAACAACAAATGGAGGTTATCAGTAATTTATTGATTGATTATTTTTATTTTGTTAATATAACAAAAACTGCTTCTAAAAGCTTCGTTATGTCTCTGATGGTTCTCAGTCATCCAGGCCTTAGAAGCGTATTTACTTGCTTTCATTTCTTATTATTACTAATAGTCTATAGACTATTAGTAATAATAAGAAAAGCAATAATACTTAAATGCACTTTAGTCATGCCTTACAAAAAAAGATTCCATCTGAAATCTGTAAAATTTAAGGTTCAGTTTACCATTCAAAAACTGAAGAACATTTTCCAATCTAAAATTGCAACAAATCATCTTTGTGGCCCATATTATTATTACAAGTTTATAGAGAAACCCAACCAGATAAACAACTGAATAAATAAAGGAAAATGGATGAATGGCTGAACTATAGAGAATCTGGAGAACTATCTGCATGTAAAGATCATTACTGACAGTCTCCCGGCCCTCAACTGAATCTACATTTAACAGCATACAACATTCCATAATGTGAAATCACTGCAGGGGAAATGAAGAAATGCCACTTCGTCTCCTGTACTTGGAGTACTTGGATGTCATGGTACTTGCCTCAGCTGGTAGCTCCATATGTTTTGATTTGGTAAAGTTTTACATCAGATGCTCTTCCTGACAGAACCCCCAAAGAGAGTGGAATCGAATTGGTGACCTTGGTGAGCCAATGTGTTATTCGCCAATCAAACTCTCCAAAGCGTTTTGGAAAGCATTTGTGCTTTACATATGCTGCAATCTATTCCATTAGGGGAGGCCTCGTCTGTCTTTGACAGTGTCACACCTTCTGCACATATTACAGCACTGTAATAAGAGTCTGGCTTAATATAGCCTGCCTGTTTTCCACACATTAAAAGATTTTGTACACAGTAAAAAAATAAATAAAGAAATGTGACCTAGGATTTCTCAGTATTGTATAAACTTAAAACAAATGGAAAAATAAATTAGGCACATTAGCTTCAATCTGTCCCAGATAGGAACACTTGTTGTGTACATGTTTTGCAGTAAGGGGACGTATATAGGCACGCACCTAACGATTTTGCCCTTAACCAATGAGGAGGGGGGGCTCGTGTATTTCGACGCAAGCGCAGTTCAGCATGCGGTACACGTGACTGCGCAATGTAATAACAATGTGGATGTTTTCCTTGCAGAGGAGATATCTGCACTTCTCGTTGTGTTTGATGAAGAAACTGAAGGGTAAGACGCCAGCGGAGCAGCGCTGGCTCCGACGGCAGCTTAAAGACCCGTATGTCAAAGCTTCCCAGGTCCAAAACTTTCGATGCAGGAGCGCCTTCAAGCTTCTAGAGATAGATGACAAGTTCAGGCTCTTACAACCTGGATACACTGTGGTGGACTGCGGAGCTGCTCCTGGAGCCTGGAGCCAGGTGGCAGTCCAGAGGGTCAATTCAGGTGTGACAGGTGAGAGGACAGGTGAGATCACACAGGTTTGTGGGAGGGGCGCCATGATATGATTGTTACGACGTTTAACCTAGAGTTTGTGCTTTTGCTAAGACTGTATGTCAGGGACGACTTTGAGCCCAACCTTACAATATTTTGTCCGATTTTTCCCTATTGCGTAGCGGTTCTGTAGTTTTCCAAGCGTAAAGTATTGTGGCTCATGCCTAATTTTCCTAATAAGATTATATAGGCATCATAAAATGTCATATTGATTGATTTCGTTTTTAAATATCTGCAGTGTGGTTTGAATATTAGCATTCAGAAACCGAAGCTGCTCTTAATATCCATCATGTCGGCGTTTATTCCTAGTGATGCAGATTGATGGGAAGAGTCTGCACTACATTTACCACACAAACAAAAAGCAGTGCTCTGCAAAAAACAGAAGCAGATGTGATAGACTGTGATGTATTACCAAGCTGAAAGTTATTGAAGCCTATGGCAGATGCATTAATAAAAGCAGAAAATTCACAAAAGAAACGTGTATTGATGATAATATAGAACATGTGCTATTATAATTTGATATAATTATGTGTTATTATAATTATCAAATGAGTTGTCTTGCTTCTCTAGTTGATCGTGCAAGGAAATAGACTGGCTTTTATATCCAGACTTGTCTTTCTTGTAGCTCAGCCTTAAATAACAGAAAAAATAAGCTTGTAAATTAAAGTCACTATCTTTCCTATTACCTTAGATCCAGAGTTGCCTCGTGGTATGGTTGTTGGCATTGATTTGCTGAACATACCGCCTCTGGATGGTGCTCACTTCCTGTCCAATTGCGATGTCACAGACCCTGCCACACATGCCAAGCTGTTGGAGCTTCTTCCCCACGGCAAGGCTCATGTCATCCTGAGCGACATGGCACCCAATGCCAGCGGTTTCAGAGAGATGGACCACGAGAAACTCATCACAATGTGTTTGTCTTTGATAGACTTGGCTGAGAAAATTTTACAGCCCCAGGGTTCTCTTCTTTGTAAATACTGGGACGGGATCCTTGCTCATAAACTGCAGGAAACGCTCTCAAGTGTGTTCAGTAGTGTTCGGACTTTAAAGCCAGATTCCAGCAGAAAAGACTCAGCTGAACGATATTTCCTTGCTAGAATGTACAGAAGGCCAATAAAGTGATGTTTAATTATGGAGTGTGTGCTCTGTTCAGTCTGAGCATGACGAAGGGGCTCTCTTAGTGGCTGTCATCAAAAGATGGCACTGTTGAGGCATCGGTAAGGCTGACTGCTCCAGGCACAGAAGCAAACACATTAAACACTGTGATGCTGGCTTTTAAGCCCTGCAAACTTAACACAGCAGCAGTGAATCAGTAATATGTAAACCTATGCAAGAATCAGTTTGATATCCCTCAAGAGCCCAATGCAGTGCTTCTCTGAAGTTATTGTTTGCCCCAAGTGTTTGTTCTACACACTCAGACTGGTATTTGCTTTGTTACAGAAAGTCATCTACCAGTGGTGCTTATGCTAATAATTTGCACTGCCAGCCATGTAGAAATATGTAATAATTCTCTCACCGAGAGCTCACAGAGAGGGAAAACTAATACATAAGAGTCAAACACAGTATGACTAACTGGAAGTGGGATGCTACTCAAGTGTTATTGGGTTCTGACAGTGAAAACATGTCCATTTCCTGTGAAAATGTGATAAGCACAGTCATTTCAGTTTTTCTTTTTTTCTTTCTTTCATATTTTCACAGATCTCCTTTAAATCACTGAGGTGAACACTTTCATTTGTTTTTATTTTTTAGTACAACTGGTCATGAAATAAAAGCACATTTTGTAGTCGTATAGTGTCACAGTCTTGTCCTGACTTGAAGCGCCATTCACCAGAGCCAGATGCATATACGATATCTTTATCTTCTCTTCCCGTCTTAGTGCATTCGTTTTCATGTACAAGCAACTATCATTTTTGGAGGGCATTTTATGCTTTTAGTCCAGTGACAGAAATAGATTGGGAATGACTTGCCACAAAGGTCTCCAGCTGGACACGTACTTGGGATGTTGCTTTACCCTTTGGCCAAAAGGGCTCTGTCATGTACAAATGAGTGAATAACAATGAAATGCAACCAAGCGCAGAGGTTCAAAGGAGAAGGAGTTATTTCAGGCACCCCTGGTTCTAAAAGGAAAAATCTCCATTCATTTTATAAACAGAGATGCAATTTGCTGAATACTTCTACAGCTCGTATGTCTTTCATGGTTAAATAAATCAGTATAAAAGATTAACATCTGTGTTGGCAAACATTTGGTTCTTAGGTCAAGCCAGACGATAGCTTGATCTCAAGTAAAATAAGTATTTTTCTTTTGAATTCTGATTAATTTGTGGGTGGATTTGTAACAAGTCTACCATAAAAATAAAGTTCTTTAAATTTGCTTTTAAAGGTATAGTAATCCTTAGTACTGCAGTCAAAGCGAATCCAGTTTCTAGAGAGATAAACAGCCTAAAGAGGCTCTCTTATGGTTTTGGGTAGAAATGTTTGGAAGTTAGTAATTTACAACAGTTGAGTAATGAGGTCAAAGATGCATAACATTTAGAGGATGTGCATGTTGCTTTTTAGATTTTAAATTTGTGCAAAAATGTTGAGCCACCTCATATTTCCTAATGTTTTGCTAGAAAAATCTCAAATGGGGGCAATGATTTATTTTTTTCCTGATTTTTATTTTTTATTTATTTTTTCCTGGTGTGTCTGGTCAAGTTCTTTTCTACTTTGGCATACCTCAGTCTTTTCTCCCTATTTTCCTTTCTTAAGAAGGAATTCACATCAGTCACCCTTCCACCAAGACCATTTGTGATGAAGATTCAGCGAACAGTAGATGGATCAAATGAAGGACCATGTGCAATCTGCTGTAGTTTGCTTTTTAGGCCTGACACTTCTTTTGTCCTCTACTTGTCCAGTTTCCAATTTTTTTTTTTTTAAAAGAACATAACACACACCCTGCCAAGATGTGACATTTTTAGCTAATAGTTTTTTGGGAATCGCCTTGATGGTCAGAAAATAGTATTTTTTTTTTCAAACTGTTTTATCTTTGGCAAGAAATGGGAACCAATTATGTTTTGTTGACAGGTTGTTGGTAACAAATTACCCAAAGATACATTTTCAAATGGATTATTTGCTTACTGTTATGTGTATGCACAACACTGGTTCATCCACTGATTTTGGTTTCTTTGGTGCTTAAATGATTTATAGGTCAGTGCTTTGGCTTAACAAACAAACAAAACAAGACAAAAGAAACCTGGTGAGGTGCAAAGACGGGACTGAGAATGAGTGAAGAAACCAGCCAATGTCCAAAGAAAGAAAACTAAAAGGCCTTAAAGACCTTCAGAAAGAAAGAAGAACTGATGCAGAAACAAAACTACTTCAATGAAAACACACAAAAAAAGAATAGCTTCCCTGGAGGAAAAAAA